GGACTACAGATTCGTTGCTTGGGGAGGGCCATGGATTTATGAAGGAGATGCTTTGTTGGTGGCTCCGTTTGTGGAAGATGCTCATCCGTCTGAAACTATAATGGATTCAGTCCCTGTGTGGGTGCGTGTCTTTGATGTGCCTTGGAATAAACAAACCAGGCCATATGGGAACGCCTTGGGTGGCACCCTGGGAGAGGTGTTGGAGGTTGATGCTCCGGAAGTTGGGCATGGCACTAGCGAATTTTTGAGGATCAGAGTTAAGCTGCCATATAACAGGAGGTTGCAGAAGGAGGTTACGCTAGAATATACTGTCAGAGGAGTAACAAAACGATCTACTTTTAAACTCAAGTATGAGCGTGTACCACACTTCTGTTTCTTCTGTGGTTTTCTAGGCCATGATGAAGATGTGTGTGAGAAGAAGAGGCTTGGGCTGCCATCTAAAGCCTACGATTCCACGCTCCGTTGTTCCCCGTTTAAGAAGTATGAGCAAAGACCAGCATATACAGCGTCGCCGGGCCAGCCAAGGGCGCGCCGTGTGTTGGACTTTTCCCTGGGCCGCGCTCGTTCTACTACACGACAATCCGCTTCTTCTTCAGCGAGAAGTGAGTCTAGACATAATCCAGTTATACCAGATAGGGTTGATGCCCATGATGGGTTTGAGAACAGAGAAGGATCAGGTGAGACGGCGGCTGTTATTCAGCTTGCGGATGAGGTGGAGGCGCTCCGTCTGAGGCTGGCCAAAGAGAAACCAGAGTGCAGTCAATCTCAGCAGATAAAGATTCATTTTGAAGCAAAAGCTATGGACAAACAGACTGAACTACAACCCAAATCTTACAAGAAGAGAAGTCCTGGTAAGAAAGTTGTGGCAGCAAGGAAGCCAGGCACTCTAGTTATCACGGAAAAAGAACCTACTTCGAATGTCATGAACCCAACATTACGGGGTGTTGAATTTTTGGATAAATCTTTTGGTACAGCGGTGGACTTGATGGTATGCAATGATTCCATCTTGGGAAAACGTCAGGTTGCGGGATTGTTTGGTTATGGGCAGGATGCGCAACTTGACAAAGCTATGGTGCCGTTCGTTGATGTTCCAACAGGAGGTAGTCTGAAGAAAGGGAAAACTGAAGGTCAACAACAAGAGGAGGAAGTAACCAGCAAAGGAAGTGTGGTGGACTTGGAGGCAGCTGGCCTAGGGGCCGCCAGCGATCTGACGGGGCCTTTGGCCCCCCGTCAGAAGCAATGAATTGCTTAAGTTGGAACTGTCGAGGGGCGGGGAACTTCGCACAGTTCGTGATCTTGTAGCGCTTGTGGGTGCTCATTCCCCGAAAGTGGTCTTTCTGTGTGAAACTAGACAACCAAAAGAAAAGATGTATCGTCTTCGTAATCGATTAGGCTTAGCTGGTTTTGAAGGAGTTAGTAGTGATGGTCGTAGTGGTGGTCTAGCTTTACTTTGGCATGAGTCTGTATCCCTGGTTGTTCAAGAGGCTAATAATAGATGGATTGATGCTTATGTCCGTTTGTCACCTGATGATCCTTTGTGGCGTGTCACCTTTGTGTATGGCGAGCCACGAGTGGAAAATAGACATTTTATGTGGGACTCTTTGAGGAGGTTGTCAAGACACAGTGCACTTCCATGGATGTTAGTTGGCGACTTTAATGAAGCTATGTGGGATTATGAACACATGTCAGAAACACCAAGGGCACCGGGTCAGATGTTGAGTTTTAGAGATGCTTTGGAAACATGTGGGCTGATTGATATGGGCTTCACGGGTTATCCCTTTACCTATGATAATAGGCGGGGTGGTAGAGCCAATGTTCAGGTGAGATTGGACAGAGCAGTGGCCACTAATACTTGGAGGGATATGTTTGCTGATGCTGTTGTACGTCACCTGGTCTCACCGGCGTCAGACCATTGTCCAGTGTTCGTCTCATGTATTTTGGATACGGCCCCTCGGCCGGGCCGATGTCGCCGTTATGAATTGATGTGGGAAAGAGATCATGCTCTTAATGAGGTAGTGGCGGAAGCATGGGGTGCAGCAGGAATTAAAAGAAACTTACGTGATGTTCAAAAGGCTCTAGGCCAGGTGATGGGTAAGTTGCATACTTGGAGTAATAAAAAATTTGGGAATGTTACAAGACAACTTGAGAAATATAGATCAAGGTTGGAGGAACTGATGCTTATGAATGCGGATAGGGCAGATATTAGGAAGCACATGGACGAAATGAATGAACTTTCATTCAGGGAGGAGATGTTGTGGTTACAGCGCTCGCGCATTGCTTGGCTCAAGGAGGGGGACAGGAACACAAAGTTTTTTCATAGAAAAGCGGTGTGGCGAGCCAGAAAGAATGCAGTACGAGGACTATTGGATGCTAATGATGTTTGGCAAACTAATAAGAACGTGATGTTGGATATGGCCCGTAACCATTTTTTGCAATTATTTACAGCTGATCCGAACGTCAACCCAGAAGAGGTAGTGAATCTATTCCAAGCTAAAATAACGGATGATATGAATACTACTCTTTGTGTTCCTTTCACAGATAAGGAAATAGGCGATGCGTTGTTCCAGATTGGGCCACTAAAAGCCCCCAGTCCAGACGGTTTTCCAGCTCGATTTTTTCAACGGAATTGGGCTTTAATGAAAGAGGATGTAATGGTGGCTGTCAGGTTGTTCTTTGAGACTGGACACATGCCGAATGAGGTAAACTAAACTACTATTGTGCTTATTCCTAAGGTTGCGAATCCAAAGAAGTAAATGAGTTCAGACCAATCAGTCTATGTAACGTAGTTTACAAGGTCATCTCCAAGTGTTTGGTAAATCGTTTGAGACCGCTCCTTAATGTTATTGTTGCTCCTGAGCAGAGCGCCTTCGTCCCTGGTAGACTTATTACAGATAATGCTTTCATAGCTTTTGAGTGTATGCATACAATCAAACAGGAAATGAATCAGGAGAATAGTTTTTGTGCTTACAAGCTGGACCTATCAAAGGCATATGACAGGGTAGACTGGAATTTCCTGGAGCGAATGATGGAACAGTTTGGTTTTCATCACCGGTGGATACAGTGGATTATGGCGTGTGTAACCTCGGTGAGATATAGTGTTAAACTAAATGGAGCCCTCTCAGATTCGTTCGCACCGTCGCGTGGACTTCGGCAGGGTGACCCTCTATCCCCGTTTTTGTTTTTGTTCGTAGCTGATGGACTTGATGCTATTTTGAAACAGAAGGTCAGACAAGGAAGGATTTCTCCTATTCATGTGTGTCCAAGGGCACCAGGTATCTCACACCTCCTATTCGCAGACGACACGTTAATGTTCTTCCGTGCTACTCAGGAAGAAGCTACCCAGGTGGGAGATGCACTAGCTATTTATGAGCGCACCACAGGACAATTCATTAACCCGGCGAAATGTTCTATTTTATTTGGCACATGTTGTGGTGACAACGACAAGCAGGAGGTTGTGCATACCTTGCAGGTTCAGACGGTGGGATTCGACGATAAGTATCTCGGTCTCCCCACACCATCTGGTAGAATGTCGAAGGGCAAGTTTCAAAATCTACAAGAGCAACTTACTAAGCGTATCTTACAGTGGGGAGAAGCGGCGTCACAAGGGGGCAAAGAAATTCTCATTAAGGCGGTTGCGCAGTCCCTACCTACATATATCATGGGGGTTTTCCGTTTGCCCCGGAGTGTTTGTGATGACCTTACTCGCATGCTACGCAATTTTTGGTGGGCGGCCAAGGAGGGGAAGAGGAAGACACATTGGCGTGCATGGGATACATTGATTAAACCGAAAGTGCAAGGCGGCATGGGGTTCTGTGATTTCACTCTTCAATCAGGCACTTCTGGCTAGACAGGCTTGGCGTCTTATTGCTTATCCTGACAGTTTATGTGCGCAGGTGCTGAAAGCAAGATATTACCCGGCGGGACGTCTGGAAGATACGGTCTTTTCGGGCAACTCATCCCAGACGTGGCAGTCTATTGTCCATGGTCTTGAGCTTCTCAAGAAAGGTTTAATTTGGCGCATTGGTGATGGTGCTTCTGTACGTATTTGGCGTGACCAGTGGATACCACATCCACTTGCGAGGTTGCCAATATCACCCTAGGGGCGCTGCCGCCTTCGGCGTGTCAGCGAGCTCCTGGACGACCGAGGAAATTGGAACGTGCAACTACTTATTCAACATTTCATGTCGGTAGATGTCATGGAAATTATGAAGATCAAGGTGGTGCCACGGTTGGACAAAGATATTATCGCTTGGGCGCCTGAGCGTTCTGGATCATTCACAGTTCGGAGTGCTTATCGTCTATCATATGACGAGATTCACCGTCAGACTACAGTCGCATCGAGTAGGGCACCGGACGGGCGACATGCCGTCTGGGCACTTATATGGAGATGCCCTGTTCCACCAAAGGTGCGTATCTTTGCATGGCGTTTGATCACAAATTCACTGGCTACTTGGGTGAATAAAAAATCACGGAAACTTGAGGTGTCTAACCTTTGTCCGCTATGTGCGATGGAACCGGAGGACACATTCCACACATTCTGTAGATGCCCATTGGCTGTTGCTTTGTGGAACGCCATGCAGGAAAAATGGCTATTGCCGGACTTAGCTTCAGTGAGGAATACAAGCCCTGAGTGGCTTTTTGATCTTCTATACAAGCTAAATGAAGATGACCGCATGCATGTGTTGATGGTGCTGTGGAGGAGTTGGTATGTACGTAATGAAATAGTACATCATAAGCTACCGCCTCCAATTGAAGCTTCCTGCAGATTTCTAATTAGCTATGCTGAATCTCTTCGATGCATCAATCATTTTCCAACCATTGACATCATCAAAGGGAAGATGGTGCCGCCACCGATTGGGTATAGTTCCACAATGATAAATACAGCAACGTTAACGCAACATGCAGCCACAGTCCAGTGGTCTGCCCCGCCGGCCGGTCGCGTGAAGCTCAATGTTGATGGGTCGTTCGTTCATACCGATGGTGGATTAGCATGAGCCGGTATGATCTTACGTGATAATGACGGCAACATTATCTTCTCTGCTTGTCGTTCTATCTTGCATTGTTCCGGACCGCTCCAGGCTGAGCTGTTGGCATGTCAGGAGGGATTAAGCCTTGCTCTACAATGGTCTACTCGCCCGATAGACATCGAGATGGACTGCATGGATGCGATCAAGTTGATCAAGTCGCCTACCCTTGACAGATCGCCACATAGAATGATAGTTCAGGATATTAAGAGGCTCTTTGGTGAAAGGGATATCTCTATTGCTCATGTAAGTAGGAATCAGAACGTTGTTAGCCACACACTTGCTGTTTTCGGACGATCGGAGGGTCGAACTACAGTTTGGTTGTGCTCTGGACCTGCATACGTTCCTCTGCTATGTAGGAACGAATATTCCAACAGTTGAGCAATGAAATTCTTTTAACCCCGCAAAAAAAATAAATCAGAACAGCTATCACTCTCTGCTCGTAACCTTGAAGATCCTCACTTCTTTCACTGATAGGCCTTGTAATATTCTAGGTCGGCAGGGGTAGCACGTCATCCCATAGTTGTATATATGGACGATTTATCCTCCTCCATCTCAATCGATTGAGTACCATGCTACCATGCTAGCACAAGTACGTTCGTGACATAAGTCCGCGTCTACCAGATTTATGGGAGATCTGAAAAGCATGGTTCATCCATGTGTTTTCTAAATCATTCGCGTCATCTTCCTCGGCACTATCAATAGTGATAGGGGCTGTCGAAGCATCTCTGTATCTGAGATTTTGGCGGTGCCAGTAACTTTCCTCCTTCATTAAAGACTTCGTCGTTACGGCAAGCTTTTACCATGCGTGTACGCAACTTCTTGTCAGTGCAATGGTTAGAGCTAATGGTCGTTGTTCCACTACGTCAACCACTGTTAACACTAGTGGAGCTCCCTGTAGGGTAAGGTTGGGCGGCCGCCCTACCTTGATTTTCAACAGACGTCTAGATAAACATATAATCTGTTAATCGCTTCCTTTCTGTTTTCATATTTTATTGTTCTATTATTTTGGTATGAGGTTGTTGCTAATGTCGTGTATACTAAAGTCAACCTTAGGGTGGTGCTTTTGGTGGTGGTGGTGGAGCCAGCTTGGGTATATCGGTGGTGTGCTCTTCTTCATGTGTTTGTCTTCGGCTGCCTTTGCGTGATCTCTGTTCCGTTGTTGTGCATACTAAAGACCCTCCATGGTGGCTGTTGTGTTGCGGCGAGCTTGGGGCTTTTGGTATCACCTTTGGTTCAACTTTGCTCAACGGCGAAGCACTAGTGCCACCCCAACTTGCTAATCGCTCCAACGTCCTGTGGCGGAACTCCTAGTCAAGGTTCTTGTGAAGTGTTGGCACTCATTTATTGTGGATGATTCTCCATTTTGTCGTGGGATTCGGCACGCACACCGGTACAGTACGTTAGGTAGTTTGCAAAGACCTGGTATTGTGATGCCTTGACAACACGGCCCATCTATTTGTGCCCTCGTGGTGATTGTCATCTGTCTGCTGCTAGGTCCTGCCTTCTCATGGGTATCCACTTCTTCTCTTCTTTTCGAATTTGATAATTATAAGGTTTTTGGCCCGGTTTTCCTCAAAAGCGGTGTAAACTTGTTAAGGTTTTCGATAAGGTTTTCCTTATAAACTGGAGCAACCAAATCCTATGGGTAATTCTTGCCTTTGGCCGCTTTTGAGCAATATATTCAGGTGGGAGGACTCTTATAAAAAAATCCGGGATACAATCCATGGACATGGACTTTTTTTTACGTTGCCCGAAGTGAGGATGATATTTGGACTGTTGGTTTACGTTTGAGATATCTGGTTAATATAGCGTTTGAAAAAATATCTTGACAGAAACATTAGGGATAACTAGTATGTAAAACAGAAAAGTATGTTTTTGGTCCCTCAAGTTTACCAAAAATATACATCTTGTCCCTCAATATTTAGGGGTGATATTTAGACCTTCATGTCTCAAAACCAGATAAGAGAGGAAAACCAGCTACGTGCCGTTGGTTTCTGTCTGCTCACTTTCCTCTCTTGACACATCAGACCAATATTTATTTTGGAGCAATGTCTACTTAGAGACGCACGTCGCCTAGACCTTGTAGTTACCCCTCCTCACTGAGCTCATCCCACTCGTGCCACGCCTCACCACCGCCCCCTAACCCAACCACCTCGCCGCTACTTGTCGCCCAGTCTCTTCGCGCGTGCCCCCATCCTAGACAAAGATGGAAACCGCACTGGTGTTGTCGTAGCCAGTCGTGAGGAGAATTTATTTACTTTGACTCTCACATTTTAATGAATGTCAGTTAATGACCCTAGGTGAAACGGAGGTGCTCGCAACATCGATGTAGGCTTTATCTCACACATGAGTAAGCATGGGGGGATGTCCTTGGTGGCCGCCAGAGATGGCATCCCATCAAGGCGGTGTTGAGAAGACCATCCAGGTCATTATTGTGGCAGGTGCAGCGGGAGGTCCCATGGCAGCACAGTAGTGCCCGCCCCACACGCCCGCCACGCCAGCACCACCCGTCGTGTGCGATCCCCATGTGTATGGTGAGCAAGTAAGGGGATGTTCATTGTTGGGGGATGCTGACTCGGAACCAGTAGGACGACGCTTGGATACGCTGGCGCAGGGAACTGGGATGGCATGGGGACACGATACCCACGTTGGGCGCTTGGGGGGTTGTGGCTACGAGTCACGGTAGTACGAGGAGATGGAGCATCTCTCCTGACCATGGTTGAGCTATGGTGTCACGACTGGCGGGACAATGAAGCATGGTGGGGGATTGGGGGTGCGGCTATTAGAAGGGAGAGAGAGACAAAGAGAATTCCAAAACAGATGAGACTTCCTCTGGTACAACTTTGATCTTGTTTCGGAGGATTCATGCCAGTTTTAAGATATGAGGGACTAAATGTCGCCCAAAAAATCTTGACAGACTAAACTTAGACTCACGGTAAACTTAAGGGACCAAAAACATATTGTTCTCATCCAACATATGGTGGACCAGTGCACCTTAAAGCTTTGAAATGAGTGCCTTGTTTTTTAACTATCCTATATAAGGCGTTCAAGGTGAGTGCTGTCAAAAGCTATTTTGTGGAGTGAGCGGTCCTCGTAAGTTTTTTTAATTTTCTGAAACGGATGCAAAAGAAGAGAGTGGCCTAGTTAATTAACGGGAAAATGAGTGAAAATTGCGACAATCGCTGAGTGACACACACAATATACCTCAAGTAGGCCACTGCGAAGAAAGCCTCATTGAACTAAGACACTGGCCCCATTGTCATCACTTCTCCGTGAGCAAGCATCATCGTCATCCTTTTATCTAAGAAAGTGACTCCCACTTTTTTGCAGACGACCACCCACTCGACCCCTATTGTAAAGGCCGTGTCAGTTAATTTGATCCTCGGCCCAAGGAGCACTTTTGCAACATACATCTATTGGTTGCATCACATCTGAGAATGCATATAGTATGTTCTTTTTCATGGTTGCTTCTTAGGTGTCCCAAATTTTTTTAGACCGAGCATCACTATTCGTATCGCATGTATGCTTACTTTGATTTTTCCGTTGTAAGAGGCCGGTGTACTTAAAACTTGCAGGCCGAACCTTCTAATGCTGAGAAATGGGAGCACCTGTCACGTAAGAGTTTCTCACTACCTTGAAGTTTCTCGCTGACATGTAGGGCGGATGGAGCAAGAAGTCGTCACGTAAGAGTACATTTTAGTACAGGACAACGTACTATGGAGCTAGGTATGGGGGCATGGTCCAAGCGTCCGTCCGAGTCTCCATTTATTTATGGTCCAAGCAGTGACGCACGACGATCATCTGGACGAGGTACGGAGCGCCATGGACGATTGATTCCAGAGATCATCTGATTGAGTAAATTGCATAAAACCACCACTTTGAGGGCTAGTTTTGCGAAAAACACTAGGATACAGATTCGCTGCAGAAAGCACCACGTCTTGGGTAATTCTTTTGCAAAAACCACTGATCGGCGGAACGAGCCGCGTTAAGTGAGTTTATGATAGGTGGGTCCCGTTTTATGCTTACGTGGCAAAACAGTTTAGGCTTAATGCGAAAAAGCCCCCCAGATTCCTCTCCCTGCTTCCCAGGCCCATCCCGATCCCAACCGCTGTCGCCCCTCCCGACCCCGACCACCGTCGCTCCTCCCGACCCCAGCCACCACCCGTCCCGAACCCAGACGAGGCAGAGGCCCGTCCTCCCCTAGCAACCGTCCCACCGCTGCCCGTCCCGCCGCCCGCGGCGAAGTCCCCGCAGCCGCACGTGCCGCCGTCCTTCCCACGCTCCCTCGCCGCCCCCTTCCTCGTCCTCGCC